ATTTTTTTCCTCTCTCTTTTACACCATGTTAGCTCTCATCTAATCAGATTTGTTTTTCAGGGTCATCACATGCACTCTAAAATTGGCAGAAAGGGAGAGAACATGAATGAGTAGCTGAAATAAAGGGAAGGCTTTTCCCAGCAACAAACTTGCATTGATAAAATGGTAGCGGATCATATGCTGAAAATTGGAGAGGGTTTATAGAAGAGCCATGAAAACGGTAAAGGGACTGGAAAACACACTGTATAATGGAAAAGGCTTTTATCAAAGTGGAAGTTGTAGGTGTTTGTCTCTGCTGACAGGAGCAGCAGAAGTGTAATAATAGAGGGCTTTTTAGTCTAGCTGGGAATGGAATAATGAGCTGCAGTAGCCAGAAGGTACAGTAGAAAAACCTTGGCGAGAAACAAGCTGCAAATTTTTGAGTGAGGTTAATTAACTGTTGCAATACCTTGCTTCTGCTACTGGGGATTTTTAAACCAGAATGGAATGCTGATCTAATTTAACATGTTCTGGTTCATTGTTTCTTACCTCCTTTTGGGGAAACATGAATGAACTCCTAGAACTGGAAGCATTCATCAGCCTAGCATGGCATTAGTTTAATTGTCAAGAGATGAGCATTAAAGTAGAAATAATGTTCTTGATCAAAAACATTTATTGAGGTGGGAATATAAGGAAGTTCTCTAGCATCAGCTATGGAGGTGACCAGACTTATCTCAAACGGGTTTTTTTCTGGCTGACTTAAACCTTGCAGAAAATTTGGACTTGAAAGTGTACATAAATTGCATTAAAATTCTGTCTTTATCAGTGACCCTGGCTGTCCTTCCAAAGTCGTGGATAACCAGCCAAAGGAAATGGGCCCATCTAGGAATGACTGTAACCAGCGGGGAGCATTGGTCCTTTAATGAATAATGTGGTGCATGGGGTACTGGGGAAAAGTCCTGGCTTTAGCTGTTCATATCCGGACCACAGCAATGCTGACTGGTGTCAAGAGAGAAAATGTTCAGTGCTTTGTAAAGGAATGACTGTTTCTTGCCAGCAGCAGCACAGCTGGGATGAATGACAAGTCACTTGAAATGCTTTTTGGAGATCTCAAGAACCATGTGCTTGTGCAACTTCCTTGCTTTAGATTATATGCCAAAAGTACAGATTATTTTTGAGAATTTTATTTAGGATTTTGTATTCAGATGTTAAGTGGAACTTTTTTCACTTGCCTTCAGCTTAGCTGTGATACTGTGATTAGTTTCTTTTGGTGTCATGGAGAAAGATCTGGAAATTAAATCAGGAGGTAGGCCTCATGCTGTATGGATCAGCTAGTGAAAACTATTTAATTTATGAGGGATGGCATGGAGTGAGATTTAAATGTTGATTTGAGTGAGAGAAGGGTGCATATCCCAAGGCAATGGTAGGGAACAGGTGTAATTAATATGAGAGGAAATGGATGTGTAACAATGTAAGGGCAGAATTGCAAATGCCCCTGATAGTACAAAGCCTGAGCTTGTAATTAACTGGAATCTACATGTGTGATACATATATATATATATATATATATATACACACACACACACATGCACACATATTTATATATGTGTATGATGTATAATGCTCCCAATTCTAAGAACAGTGAATAATTCAATGGTTTCTAGTTTACATAGCTTGGATCAGCAAATCCTAAAGCAGTGAGATGCATGGTTTTGTTGCCTCTTTTTTTAACCCCTTAGTGTGTTGCAGCCAGACAGAATATATCATGATGCTCTTTTAAGAGTGCAGGTGGATGGTATTGACACCAGGATAGGCAGTGGATCTCCGTTCTCAATGTACTTGTCTAAAGGTGGCTATTGACTCATTGTAGTCAGATGTTACTGCCCAGAAAGTATTAGTAAGGGCCTTGAAGTACTTTTAGCAGAAGGTACAGCTTTGCATGAACAAACACATCATCTGTGAAGCAAATGAATGCGAACTGCTAGACCAAGCATTTTAGGAAGTACTGTCCAAATCCAGTGAGGTTAATGTGCAGGAGCTAGTGGAAGGAGGTGGGTAACGAGCCACTACTTACTCATACAAAATTAAAGCTCCTCTTTGTGGAATCTCTCATTTAGAGTTACTGTTTGTTTAATGTTGTCTTGGGTTTATCTGTCCAATAGAGAACTGTGATCACTTCTGTGTTTCATTACAACCAAACCAGTCTGTGTTTCTGTATTTGTTGCATGGGGCTGGGCTGCTGTATTCTGAACTATGTGAATCTCTCCTCTTTTTTTAACCTTAAATCTTTTTTTTCCTTTTCTTTTGCTAATCTTGGTAGGAACTTACTTAGGTAAGTAAATTGCAATTTTAACATTGTTTTTATGTACAAGAGAATTTTAAGAAAATCTTAGTCTAGGTGGTGTTTGTTACAATTTATGTTCTGTTCTGCTCGTTACACTTGCATTCCTGAAAGTTTATAGCCTTTGATTGTTGGAAGGTGGACGTTCAGTGCACTCACAGTGGTAACACACCCCTGGCACTTTCAGAAAGAGAGGAAAGGAGTACTAAAGCCTTCTTATAAGCTTGTGAAAACTGTCTGTGTGTATATGTCAACACACAGAGACTACTTCAAGTGAACCAGGAACTTGGAAGTGAAATCCTTGTTCATCAAGTCTCATTCATGCATGGATTCTTATATTTTTTTTCTAGCTTACTCACAAATGTGCTACTGTTGGTGTTTTTGTTAGTGCTGGGAAGGATGGAATCCAGGAAGAAGGTTACTTTTGGAAAAGGAAAATGCATATGAAGAGTGTATGGATTTTTAAAAGCAATGTATTTTAGTATAGTAAACTTGCTGGTTGTGAAAGTGTGTGTTAAAATCTCTGCATTCATTGTGACTGAAGACATGCTTATGAATGTTACTGTATATTGCATGTTCTGCATGATACTTCTCTTTGGTAAATAGAAGCTAAGACCAAAATACCATCTGTGACTAATTGCTTGATGCCCTGATTGTTTTGTTGTTTTTTGTTTGTTTGGGGTTTTTTTTAACAAAAAAGAAAGCAAAAAAAAAAAAAGATTAATTATGTTAACATGAGGTGAAGGACCCATTTTTTTGTGTGTGGTTGATATGCTGAGCATTGGAGTTAGTAAGTTCTAGGAAATACAAATTTAACAACTCTTAAGTTATGTCCAGTGCCTGGAAGCTGGGCTACTCTTCTTCCTTTGTGCTAGGGGCAGCTATGTACAGGCTTCTTGTGCCAAACTATGAAGTGGTCTGTAAATTCACAGGCAATGGTAGATATGTTCAGGCATGGAAAAGTACTGGAAGATTTCTACCCAAGTAGAAAAGTGGCCATGGCTGGTACTTTATAAGGTACTTATCCTGCATCTTTGTGATGCTTGCTGTAGTAACTTCCTGAAAATATCCCTGCACACCAGTCTGCACTGGGCACACTGCTGAGGGCTTAGGCTCTTCTGCTTCTAGAAACAGCAGTTGTGTATTGTGTGGAGTTGGCAAAAAAACAGACTGAATTTGATCAGTGGGAGTAATTTTTAAATGCTGCCATTCAGCTGCTGAGGACCTCTTGCTGCACTCGAAGGGAATGGGACTGGATCAGCAAAGAGCATGCGTGTCTCCTCTCAGGCTGCCAGTAGGATCAGATATGCAGGTTTGCTTCCCATTGGGAAACTAGATTCCCCATTCCACTCTATATTGTTGGGTGCCAACTATTCCTTATTCCCACAGCACGCTCTTGGGGTGGTGCCCTAGTTCCTGCAGGAAGTTACAGTTTGAGTATTCTCTCTTTAAAAAAAACAAAACAAAAAAAACCCAGAAAGCATTAGATCCAAATAATGGGAGATTGTTACATGAAAAGAAACAGGTTGGCTGCCTGAGGGATGGTTCCCTCCATCCCCAAAAGAGAAAACAAAGCTGCAAAGTAACAATAGTAACAGACTTTTTGCTGTTTGTGATAGTCCTTCCCCACCTGTGGTTTTTGGGGGGCGAAAATTTGTATGTGTGTATATATATATATATACACACACACACACACCATGTGCAGCTTTGGTACTTCAAGGATGAAAGGATCATTAAGGCATTAAGTAACCTGCTGTGACTGGGTTTGAGCCAAAATCTCAGCAATTGTACTTATGCTTGAGGAACAGTTCTGAGATCTTCAGCACTAAGTTGTGGGGAGTGGAGATATGCTCTGAAGGTGACATGTAATCTCTGTACTGTGATTACTTGTTTTATTGCCATTTCAATAACAAGGGCAAATTGTTTGTGGCAACGGAAATCTATCCTTATCTGCAGATGATATACCCTCAGTTTACCTTGTCTACGCTTTATCCTCTGGGACTTCCACTTGATTTCAGTGTACAGAGGAGACTTTGGCAGGCAGAATTGAATGGGAGGAGATCTTCTAGGGCTTTGAAGTTTTTTTCATTGCTTTGGAAAAAAACTTAATCTTGAGTTTTCAGAGTATATTTCAATTTCTTTGGCTGCAAAAGAGTGTAAAATCTGCTTAGATTCATCATTGTAGACCTTTACACTTTGTGGTTTTGAAGGGTTTGTCACCTTTTTTTTGTTTGTTGGGATTTTTTTTCCTTATTTGGTGGAGTTTAGTGTTGTTTCTGATGTGGAGCTATGTAAATTCAAGCAGTTGGACCTTAGATATCATTGAAAGAAATATTCACATTTTTTACCCTGTGGCTTCTCTAGACATCCCTCCAGAAAATAAAGATAAGTGTTTTGCCTGTAGAGGAGCTGCCAGAACCCTGTTGGATTTTGCTCCTGATTTAAATTCATAGACTGTCCTACTTTTTTAACCTGCTTGTGGGTGCATGTGTGTGAGAAGTCTCTCTCAAACCTTGATCTGTGAAAATGGAGCAAGCACCTCATGGAGGAGTGGTTCATATGGTCAGGTACCTGTTGGTGCCACTCCTCACCCAGAGATGGAGGATTGGTTTAGCTCTTAGAGGTGCCTGTCTTGCAGACCTTCTCTCTCACACAGAAGCCACCAAAAACTTCTGGGTGAGAATCCATTGTTTCCAGTACAGATGCATCCTGTTGACTTGACAGCTGTTCTGCAATGAGTTACAGATGTTGCAGTCTCTCTGCACCTCTTTGGTGACCATGGGGGGTAAAAGTTGCTCATTTAATCACAGTGTACTTCAGCTGCATATGCTTTTAGTGTGATTTTTTTTAATTGCAGACTGAACCTAGTCTTTTTAGTGTCTGTTTTATATTTATTCTTTCACACTCCAGTTATCAAAGTGTGACTAAAGGGGAAAATTCACAGATAAATAAGATTAATATGCTAAATGATACCTTATTACTGGGATAGCAAGAGTATAAATGGTGTTGAGACTGTAACTTTGTTGTGTGTCCCATTTTACTGGAGCAAAAAGTTGTCATGGGCAGCTTTATCCTAGGAGTTTCAGCTTAGGAGGTGAGGTGTGTCCCTGCTGTTACCACTGCTGCTTTGCTGTTGGAGGGCTTTGGGACTTGGAGCAAGTAGCAGTTCTGCTCAACCATCGCTCCATTTGTGTCAGTCTCAACATCTCTTCTCACCATGGAATATTCTGGGTTAATTCTAGTGCTTAGGAATAGCACTGTTTACTGTCTGTTGTACATCCAGCAATAGTCATCGCAGCAGCCACCTATCAGCTGCTCCTGTAGGCTAGTCTTTTCTGGCATCAAGAATGTTCTTAGTACAAGAAAAGAGCTTATCCACAGTGTGGTTAAAATGAAATGTGTGGATTCAATCCAGGGACTAGCATCAGTTGATTTACATCTCTCTGAGCTCCTGTGAATGGAGAAAATTAACGTTATCTTTCTGTCACGGAAGGAGAAAGGAAAAACAAGTGCTGGAGCTTAGCTCTGAAGCCAACAGATTTGGGTTGCATGCTGCTGGCTGTGCTGTTTCCCAGCATCCCTGGAGCTCTTTGTCCATCCATCTCAAACAGCTGCTCACAGCTGTCTTTTGGATGTGATTGCTGCTCCCACGTAAAAGGAGTGATTTTCTGGTGCCTACATTGCCTTTGTCAACATCCAAAAGTTGTTGCTGGTCTCCTTGCTTGGTGCCTGGTATATCCATTCTACAGATGTGATGGAAATCTTCACAGCAACTATTTCTTCAGCTCTGTGGGTACTTAGGCACAAAAATTGCACAAAAATTGAACTATGTGTCTTCATGTTTGAAGTAGTTAACAGCATACCTCTACACAGAATGGAAAATGCACTTGATATCAACTGTTGATTTTAATGTGGTGTCATGACACTTAATGCTCAGAAAATGTCCCCCGTTCCGCCTTCTTCCCTCCCAATCCACTGCTGTGCCATGTGTTCCCTGGCATACTTGCTGTGAGTACATTGTGTTTGGTTTTACCGAGGAGAATCTCAAGGAATCTGTTGGAGTAAGGACCATGAGCTGTAAAAGTTAATTTTTGCTGGATTCTTTAAAAAGCTTTGCTGTTTCATCATGGATTAGCTTGCTAGCCAATGGAAAGTCTCAAAAGTCAAGCTGGGAACCTGGGAAGCTTGCTATAAATGAGAAAGCAGAATTCATACTGATATCTTCTGTAGCCAAGGACAGCATTTCCTGATGCCTGTCCTGTAGTACCTGTTGGATTTGATATACTGACGTTTTGATTCTCAGTCAGAACGGGCTGAAAAAGATGGTTTGGTGCACTGATGTTAATGAAATTGTGTCTTCTGGGAGTAAAAGGGGCTAACAAAAAGGTTTATTAGGTCTCCCAGTCCATTCGGTGCCATGCCCTGCTGCCTTATAGCAACACATCATTCTTAACATCCCAAGACCTTTGTGTGTCCTGCAAGGTCTCACGTGTGTAAAGTACAGGTCAGTACCTGCACTATGGCAGCACGATAGGGTATGTGATAATACAGCAGATAAGCTTGGAAAAACAGGCCGTTGTGCTTGGGGCTTTCAGTGCTGGCTGTGTTACTGGGCAAGGGCTTTGTGTGATAGCTGGAGTCGCTGTGCTCTGTGACTGATGGAGCTGCGCCTGTGGATGTATTTACTCGTGGTAGGTTCGGCAGGTACAATCTGCTTGCTAACAGCTCAGCTAACGTCTGAGCTGAAGAATTCCCTGGGGATCCGAGGATAATAGGAAAGATTTTATTTGTTGCTGTCTTGACAGTGTGTAATACTTTCCACTTTCTCCTTCTTGATGTCAGTAAATTCCTCCAAAACTCAAACAGAACACCAGATTTTTCCCAAGACTTGAGGAGAACCTCGGATATGAAAAGGAGGTGTACTTTTAGTGGTAGTTTGAAGAAAGGTAAATGGAGAAAAGACTGACAAATGGAACATGTTTTTGTCTTGGGGACTCTGCTCTTCAAACCGAGTTGTCAAGGAAGCTCTTTTCTCAGTTAACCTTTCGAGGAGGGGAGAAGTTAGTTTGGTTGGACAACTCTTGTTTTAGCAAAACAACACAGTTGCAATCATAGCTGCGTGTGTTTTGATTTTGTACTTTTTTCTGTCTTGGAAAAGCAATGGTCTTACCAGCTCTATTCTCTTTCCTGTTTGTTAGGTCTGCCTAACCACGGACAAACCAGACAAATGGTAAGAGAATGTTCATTTAACCAAAACAGGGAAAAGAAGAATTATTAACCCGCGCTAGATAGAACACCCCATTAAACCCTAGTGTTTCACTTCCATCTTTGCTGTTTGCAGCTGGTCATACTTCCCAATTAATTGAAAAGTTTTAAAAAATTAATTATTTTGGGGCTTATGAAACATTGAAGTGGTTAAATAAAATTTAAACCTCAAATCTTATATATAAAAATGAGATTCTGTTTTGAATGGAACATTTTGTTTCTGCTCATACAGAAACTGAGTAGCTGTTTATAGCAAAGTTCTGGGATGTGTTTCTAGGTGGAATGTGTTTCACTGAAGGAGGAAGGTTTAAATGATGGGAAGGCTTGTTTGGAAAAACAGTTTATTTTTTTTATTATTTTTTTAGGAAGTCAGTGTGAAAGTTGTCTGCTGAGAATGCTTGGGTTTATGTTCTTCTTTTGTTTTTTGGGGGTTTTTTTTGGAGTAAAAATGATTCCTAGCCTTTCATCCATTATGCTGAGTTTTATCAAAGGACAGAAGCAAATAGCCAGTCTGATTGATGCATCTCTGGCAAAATGCTTTCTTGTGAAATTCACCTCAGTGTGAAGGGGCCAGCACAAAGGTTGTGCATCACTTTCCCCCCTCGCACATGGCTTATGGGAGAGAAGCATAAATATTTTTTTTTTTTCCCCCAAAAATAATCTTCTGTGGTGTTGATAAAGTGGAGCTTGCCTCATTAGGTGAACTGCCACGACATATTAGTGTCAGTAGAGTCACTCTGATGGGTCAGTCAGCAGCAGGTGTGACTGATGGTCACTGACTGGTGATCAGAAGCATTATTAAACCCAATAATGTACTCGGATAGTGTGCAGTATGATGAGAGTAGGCTATGACTTGAGCATGTTAGTCTGCTTGTAATAACGAAGCATTCATTTGGTTTGTTACTTGAGCATCTGACATGAAGTGGTAAATTGTATTCCTCCTGGAATTCAGCTTCATTTCTTGTCACTGAGGAGACTGGCTACTTGTTTGTGTCTGCTGAATAAATCAACTCAGTGCAGTGGGAGAAACCTGTGATGACCTGATACTTTCTAGGTGTTTTAGGGTGAAACCCCTGAACTGCCTTGATTTCTGGTTGCTTGATAAAGTGTGCTACTGAAGTGAAAATGAAATGGTTCAGGATATACCAATTGAAACAAATTGCTCTGTGCAAATAGAAAAAAAGGCAACCTGGAAGTACAGGGGTGCCCCTTCTAGGTATTTCCAAGAACTTTATCTGGAGTTGTTCTCCTGTGTATGTAGAGAAAATATCCTTTGCAAAACTAATGAAAGGATTTTCTTGGAGAAATCTGGAAGGGGTAAGAAAAAAACCCAACAGAAAAAGCCTTTTATTGGAAACCTTTTCCTTAATAAACCTCAAATATAAAAGCAATTCTTGAAGTATTTCAGTGGTCTGCTGTGGTGCCAGAATTGTCTTGTATAACATGGAGCTGGGCAACTAAGAAATTAAATCGTTATTGCACTTGTATATAGCAGCTTTAAAGAGCTTAGGATTTTAAAAGGTGGGATTTTGTTTGTTTAGCTCTAAAGCCCTAATTTCCTACAAGAAGCAGATCTTGCTAGCACAGTTGATTAAGGCTGGTCAAAAAACAAAAGGTCATCAATCATTTTTTGTTTTCTCCTCAGATAAAAATGAGATAGTTGCATGATTTTGTTGGGGTTTCTTTCTTGGTTGACATAATTAAGTCTTCCCTTTCTAAGTCAAAGCGTTAAAATTCTGTTGCGCTTTTGCCATAACCTGACACTTAACGGGCTGGAGTACCTTGTGTCCCCACCTTTCTTTTTGAGGTGGATCTCCCAGGCCAGACATCCCTCGTGTACGTGCTCAGTTTCCCATTTTGTGGGCAGAAGGGGAAGCCTGGGTGCGTCTGGGGAGATGGTCTGACCTCGGAGCATGGCCTGGGAAATGCCAGAATTAAATTTCTGCTGAGGTGTTTTCTGACCAGCTTTAATTTATTCACATGAAATTTTCTGGGTCCTTATTTTGCATCTTTCCTGACTTGTCCAGTGTTACTGATTTCAGTGGGGTTTCTCAATGTGCTAATCAGCAGGAAGAGGGGCAGCAGAACTGGACTTCAAATGATCCAAGGACAGCTGCATTTGAGAAGCTTAATCCTTTGCTCCCTTGCATCTGCACCTCTCTTAATAACAGCTTATGTTTTTCCAGTTGAGTGGAAGGGGGCTACTGTGGGTCTGGAAGATTATACCTGTATTTGATTTGCAAAACAAATGTATTCTACATGAGAAATCTGTGGTATTAAATGCTAAAAGGATTTTATGATGAAAGCTGCTAAGCTTTGTAGTTGTAGATTTGTTTTCAACAACATGTTTAATATATCATTAAATATTAACTTTCCTAGAACAAAAAGGATATGGGTAAGTTTGGTACCCCAGAATAACTGCAAATTCTGATTTATATATTTGATTTGCTGTGTAGCTAGGTTTCTTTCCCTGAAATCAATAGAGTTGCTCTAGATTTATGTTAGTAGCTGAAATCTAAGTCTTAGGCTCAATCTTTTGAACCTGATGTCATCTTTCAGACACAAGCAACAGAGTATTGGTAATGCCTTCCATTTGTTATCTGTCCTGTCGCTGGAGTACTGCTGTCCTATTGTATATTGAAGGTGCCTAACTTCTACTGCTTGTGAACAATTGCTTTTATGTGAATGCTGTGTTCAGTCATGGGCAAGAGGGGATATATTTACCAGAAACTCTGAACAACTGATATGAAAACTTTAATTCTCTTTTCCTATAAGTGCTGATCACATGCTACTGCAGGTTTGTTGCAGTCCATAATTGTACTTTTTTATGTATCACGTTAGGGACCAAGCCGAAACTTGCTGCTCAATGGGAAATCATACCCAACAAAAGTACGATTAATTCGTGGTGGATCCATGCCTCCGGTGAAAAGGAGGAGGATGAACTGGATTGATGCACCAGACGATGTTTTTTACATGGCCACTGAAGAAACCAGGTAGGAAACTTGGTCTTTTCAGAGGATTTAAGGGGCAGTCTTTTGGTTTATGTTCCTTGTAGGTGCTGCATCTGATTTTGTGGTCAGACAAGGATCTCTTCAGCACATCTGTTGCCACAAACTGCTCCTGTTTAGGTGGATAAAAGCTGTGATATACCTAATTGTGTCTCATGTGCCTAATCATGCACTTGCATTCCAGAGAAAGCAGGTTCTTCGTCTTCCAGAGCAGTTCCTGTAAGAGATGGACAGTAAGGGGAAGAAGACTGAGGTGGGGAGTTCACCTGCTTCAGACCCATAAATGCCTTTGGAGGTTCTCCTGCAGTGTCTGGGTACAGGATAGGGGCCTTCTGGCGCATGGGTGGTGCTGAGGAACAGAGCTCTACATGCCCTGTTGAATACTGAAGTCTCTTGTATTATCTCTCAGCACATCTACTCATGTGTCTGAGTACTGAAACCTGCAAGTGACACAGAGGGTTTCCAGGGGCTGATTTGCTTTGTTTATTTGGTGATTTATATTTGCTGCCAGTAGGTGTAAGATTTAGCCCTGCAGTGTCCATCTTCCTCCTTGGTGGTACTGCTTCTGCTAGTCCTTCTTGTTAGTCTGCCCACAGGGTAAAAATAGTAAAAGAACATTTCCTTGCTTGAGTTTCACTTGGAACTCTATTTACAGGCTGCTGACAGAGCGATAGAAGCTATTTGGCCTGATCCCTAAAGCAAAGCTTTTGTGTGGATGCTGCCAGTATTCTGTTATTCCTAGGAAGGGAGTGTTCCTGGGTGTGGTCAGAAAGGTTAGACACATATGCTTGTGTGGTTTCTTCCCAAGAGCTCGATGCCTCTTCTCTGGGATAACCTCCGAAAAGGTCAGAGCAAAGCCTCAGCCCTGCTTCCAGCCCTCCCTGCAAGCAGAAGTGCTCTCTGGCTTTTGCTTGTGTCTGAAGCCTGGAGTTATCAACAATTCCAGTATCAGTGCCCCAACAGGCAGAGGAGCACCCACCTTTCCCTCTAGTACCTAGCAGACACGGACGTGGGAATTACTGCATGGCTGAGCCCTTACAAGTGACCAAGGAGGCCAGGAGTTTTGAGTACTTTGTCCCATCTAGTACTACTAAATTTGTTGCTGCTCTGAGTATTAATTTGTTCAGCAAGAAGTGCATAGTCAGAGTCCTGACATCCCCAATCTCCTCCTTAGCCTGCAAAGCACTTCAAGTGTCGAGTCACTGTTCTGTGGGCCTAGTATCAAGGATGGACTTAACAGACAAACTGAGACTGGTAACAGTCAAGTTACTAACGGCTGATCTGATGGATCATCAGATTTCAGTGCAGGAAACCCGCCCGTTAGAACTCAGAAGTAACAGGAAGTTAATTTCCTTGTCAGTTTGTCAGAGTTGTTCCTATGGACACGTTTAATGCAACTGTGCATTTCACACCAGCTGACGTCTTTACCTTGTCTTTCCCTTCTCCTTTTCTGTTCCTGCCAGACGCTGTGGAAGTAAGCAGTGAGATCCCTTACATAACTGAAAGTAAAGTGAGAGAAGTGTTTAATTCTCGAGGGAAGCAGTAAAGAGGTACTGGGATCCTGTTACAGACCTTCAGCTCTGGCAAATTCACGTACCATTGTGAATGTGGAGTATACAATCTCTAATTCAGTCCTTACATGCTCAAGGTTTATTTTGTGCATCTACAAAACTCTTGACATCTTTATCACCCACCCCACAAGAAGTACTGCACATCCATGGTTGTAATGACTCAGTACTGCTACGAGGTCCCCCCTTTGATCTGTGCAGAACAAGTGTGATGTTGGTCATGAGAACAACACAATCTAAGGGCACAGAACTGTCTGCTCACACAGAACCACTGACTGAGGCAGGAGAGATCAGTCCCACAGCAACCAGCGCATCTCTAATGCAGAAATCGTGGTGCAGTGATAGACACCAGCTCAGTCAGACCTTATCTCTTCCATTAAAAAAAACCCCAAAACTAACAAAGATCAAGCTTCTTTGTCTGACAGCCTTGCTGCTTAGCTGAGTGATGAGTGCTGAAAAGAGATGTTTGGCAGCCTGCTGAAAAGCAGAGAAGCCTGAGCGAGGTAGCATTGTAAGTGGCACGGGTTTTCTTTTGGGCATTTCACCTCTAGCTTTTCCCTGAACCGTCTGCTGCATTCCCGTGTCAAGAATGTAAGGCTTGTTTGTGAGCTCTGAAACAATTTGAGCTTTGTGTTGGCTCCATAGCAATCAATCTAGCAGCAGTATCTGCATATCATCCTCCAGCTGAGGGGCAGGCTGTGTTTTCAGTCACAGAAAGCAGGTTTTCCTACAGTTTTACACCCCCCCCATTCTCCCTCTTTTGTGTGGCACTGTTGAGAACGGTGCTAGAAAACTGGATAGCTTTGAGGGAGCAGTTTGAAAAGTTGGTCGATTGAAAGGAATAAGTTTCTGAATTCAAGCCTCACAGTAAGGAGCTTGGCATTTATAATTTATGCAAGCAGAGGCAGCGAGTGACCTGATCAGAATCTAGAACTGCTATGGGACGTGTTTCTGATGGCAGCGTGTCTAACTGAGCACATGCGGGTACTGTAAGAAGCTCTGCTGGCTGAAAGGAGATCAACTTCAGCTTAAACCAGTCTTGGAAAAATCATCACATCAAGATTTCATTTTTTTTCTCCCCACCACCGCTTTTCCACCCTTTTCTCTCCTCACTCTGTGCTCTTTCAACTTTAGAAGGCACTGGAGAAACGGGGACACTGAGCAAACAAAAGATGTGTCTCTCTGTGTGTGGGCAATATCTAGCAGACTTGTTCTGCTCTGTGGGCAAAGAAAGCAAGTGAAGAGGTGACCAAATCTCACCAGAGGCGATTAAAAATCTTCAGCTGAAGTTGTTGCTTTGTCAGTGCTGGTGGTGGGGAGGCTAAATTTTAGGGGGAGGGAGTATTTTGACCAGTTTTTTTTCTATTAATGTGTCTTATATTTTCTTTTTCCTCTTCTTTTTTTCCCTCTTCTTTTTTCCTCTTCTTTTTTTCCTCTCCTTTTTTCCCTCTCCTTTTTTCCTCTCCTTTTTTCCTCTTCTTTTTTTCCTCTTCTTTTTTTCCTCTTCTTTTTTTCCTCTTCTTTTTTTCCTCTTCTTTTTTTCCTCTTCTTTTTTTCCTCTTCTTTTTTTCCTCTTCTTTTTTTCCTCTTCTTTTTTTCCTCTTCTTTTTTTCCTCTTCTTTTTTTCCTCTTCTTTTTTTCCTCTTCTTTTTTTCCTCTTCTTTTTTTCCTCTTCTTTTTTTCCTCTTCTTTTTTTCCTCTTCTTTTTTTCCTCTTCTTTTTTTCCTCTTCTTTTCTTTTTTAAATGAAGAATTTTGCCCCAACAATGTTGAGTAACCAAAACCATACAAATTCTCTTTGGGAGACAGATGGTTGAGCTGTGGACTGTAAAGCCTTGTGGCTGCCCTTCCTCTAGCACAGTAATTGTGTTTCTCATGGTGAGTTAAATAATCGCTAAGGTGGGAGCCTGTGAGGGAAGGCAGTGAGCGCTTCCTTATCAGACCCTCCTTCTTGCCCCAGTTCCTGAGCTGAAGGCTGTGTATAAGGGGTACTGGTGGGCTGCTCTTGTGAATATTTATTACTTTCCTTTCTAATCTCTATACGCCTTTGACCACCACAACATCCTCTGGAAATTAATTCCTCATTTTAATTACATGGCACATTTTTCATTGTTGCTGTTTTTTTCTTCCCTTTTTTACTTTTAAGGATACTTCCTTTAGCTCTGAGCCTGGTATTGACAAAAAGAAGTGGGTCATCATTCTGTATTGTCTCTTTCTACCTGATTTTGTTAATCTTAAAACTTCAGTGTGTCCTCTCTCCCTTCTCTCTTTTCCTTTCTTTCCATATGGAAAGCAGCTTCCTGCATCTGATAAGACTTGTTGCTAGTCTTGTAACATGTAGTGAAACTCTTAACAAATGCAGGATGTGAACATCACCTGTTTCTAGGTTGGGCACGTGCAGTGCAGGAGAAATAAGAGGGGGAGACACCCTGTCAGTGTTCCCAGTGGAGGAGGGAAGGCTCCAGTGTTGGTTCACTGGTTAGTAGCCGTCATGGAGCTCCCCTGCAGCAGCTCAGCCTTGAGGCGTAGCTCCATGGGAGACCAAATGTTGCTGGCTTGTGCTGCGATGGGTTTCTTTTGAAGAGGCAGCTGTGTGCACCTGCTTGGGGCTGGGGAACGTCAGGGCACGCTGTGAGAGATGGATTAACAGGCGGGCAAGTAACCAGCATTGCCAGAAGAGGTTTGCTTGTAACTGAGCTTTGTAAATTCCCACAGAGCTGCCTGCAGCATGTCCAACCGATGTGTCTGCGTGCATCAAAATAAATTAGTGGTATGGAAACTGGCTGTCAGAACTGTTTGACGTGTTATACTTACAGCAGTAGACCCTGGTCCTCTGAGGCTGGACCAGAATGCCTTCTGCTCTGCAGGGGAAGGATCCTGGAACAGAGAATGCTGTTTCCTCTTCATTGGTGGGTTTATAAATCAGAAAACAAAAGTTCTCTGGGGAAAGACACTGCTGAAATAAACAGTGTCATCCCATCCTGTTAGGGAGCAGCCTCGACGTGTGCAGGCCTGGTTTCTCTTGGGAGAAATCAAGAAACCAACAGTGCCTTTAGCGTCTGGTCTCTGTAATCTGTTCCTCTCTTCCTCACTGTCTGCAGGAAAATCCGCAAGCTGCTTTCCTCCTCCGAAGCCAAGCGAGCCGCCAGACGCCCTTACAAGCCTATTATCCTCCGGCCCATCCAGGCAGTGCAGCTACGCCAGCCCATGAATGATGAACCCATAATCATTGAGGATTAACACGCGCTCAGCAGCTCTGCGGATGGCGGTGGATCTGCCCGAAAGAATCTCTCCTCCAGTGTATACTTGAGTTTCTATGGCTACAGCGTTGAACTAACTGTTGAAGAGAGGGAACTTTTGAGGAACTGTTTTGCATCTTTTAAACCCTTAAAAGGAACTCAGCCCTGCTCTGAGCCTCTGACCACAGACTGCTCTCTCTCTCTCGCGTGCTCTCTCCTCCTCTCTCCTTTCTTTTTTCCCTTTTTTTTTCTTTTTTCCTTTTTTTTGGTTTTTTTTTGGTAGCCTCTTTTCCCCTTTGCTTCTACCCCTTTTGTAGACAGGGGGTGGGAAAGTCAGTTTAACTTATTAAGAGAATGTGGACTAGTACTTTTTAGCTTTGTTTCTTCTTCCGGTGTACGAAGAGCTAGAATCCTTCATTTTGTGACTGAGCTCTCGTTGCAAAGCCGTTTTTATGAGGCTGTGTTGTAAGATTTTTCTTTCTTTCTTTTTTTTTTTTTAATTTTGTGGACGGTGCCATTTTTTATTTCATTTATATTATTTCTTTTGTAGATAAATTTCCAACCTTTAACTGATATTTGGAAATAGGAGCTGAAAGCCAGCCCCAGGTTCAGCCAGTTTTCTTTGGTCCTGTCCCTTATGTTTTTTGGATCATTTTGCACGGCCAGTTGTGCTCATGCACAAGACAGAAACAACTCAGGCTGAGAAAGGAGTGAGCTAAGAACTGAAGAACCTTGCAGAACATTACACTAACGTTGTGTGCAGTGGAGGCCAGGCTACCAGAATTAGGTGTCCTTACACTAGTCAATCCCTGGGAGATCTGGCCCGTGGCATTTTTCCCAGTAACCAGCAGTTTGCGTGCTGCCTCCTCTCTGATATCTGGAGTCCTACGTGCTGTTGTACCACCAAGACTCAGCAGTAGGCCCAGCAGTCCAGCAAGTGTAATGAATTGCTTTGCTCTGGCTCCAAGAGTCAAGTACACCAATGCCCAGGGACATTTTGCTTAGAACTCTGAACCTGTTTGTGCGTCAGTGTTTTCGGACACATCTTTCCCAGGATGAGACCTGGTTTCTCTTTAATTACGTTACTGTCTGTTTCCCAATTTGAAGGGAATTTAAATTACAGCTGAGTTTTCATTTGAACACATTGTGTCTGAAATTAAGTGTTTTTTTCCCCCCTTGACATTTCTTGTGTTTGAGGTTTCTTGCATCTCTTGAACTTCTTATGTATTTGCAAGTCTGTATAATTTCTTTTTCATATGTCTTCTCATTGCAGTGCATTTGCTGAATGCCCTGCTCTGTTTTGAAAGGATGTAAACTATCATTTGCAACTTGTGCTGATCTGTACATGTACCTGCCTCAAGCAGACATGGCATGTAATAAGCCCCAAGTCATTCCATATGTGTCAGCAGTGAGATGAGCCAAAGTTGTATTTGGGTTATCACAGTCCAACCGTGATTCTGTGCAACTCTGCTAACCCAGCGGGTTAGATGGAAAGGAATCCCCACAAAATGCAAACAATTCAGTTAACTTTACTTAATAAACCTGGAAAGTGAGCTTTTGTGAAACATCTGCTTTTTGTCTCTTCTGAAATAGCTGCCAAGAGCCTTGCTCAGGGTGCCATCTGGCTGGCAGGCACGCCTCTGCGCTCCTTCCTTCACGTCCCGGCGCTGCCTTCTGCTCCCCAGTGTTTGCGTAACTGCGGCGTGTCCGTGTACTGCCAGTGCTGTTGTGTTGTACGGGGCAAGAGTCATTCAGCACTTGATTCCCCTCGTATGCAGTTTAAGTATTTCTAACACTTCAGACTGTGACTCCCCCTCTCTCCTTCTAAACGTGGCGGCAGATGCGATGCTGGAGCTCTGAATGAGCCTTTTGTCCGTGGTGGATCATGGGTCTTGCTGCTCCGTGCCACGACTCTGGCCTGTGGCAGTGAAATCCCCAGGGGGTTTATCAGCATCCAAACCCACCGGTATTTGTGTACTTGGTTTGTACATTCACTCCTTCCCAGGATAAGCAGAGAGGGCTCAATGATTGGCCTCATTCGCTGCTCAGGAGTTGGTTAAGATTTGCTCTGTGGCTGTGAGTAGCTGTGGAACTTCGCAGATGTTGTGGGTGTATCCGATACTGCTGGTCACATTCTTCTATCCATAACTTAAAAGCAGGAGGGGACAGCCATTCCTGAAGGATGTGCTACCTAGGAAGAGCACCAGGCTTACTAGATGGAAGGCCTCCAGGCTGCATGGCACGGTGCAGGGCTGTGCCAAAGGCCGTTGGCAGTTTTACTTTGTCTCCATCAGTCTGTAGGGTTAACCCCACGTACGTAAGAAATAATGCTGACTGCAGGAGGGTTTTGTAACACTCGATTTTTCTCAGTGAGGGAAAGGTCTCGTAGGGATTCCTTCCTATTGCAGAATGAAATCTGAAGACATTGCCTTGAAAAATCTGTGTCTGAATTGGCTTCAGCTCCTCTGTGGTGGGATTTGGAGCCGGCGCCTCAGCGGTAGCAGAGGGTCATGCCTGGGGAGCCCCGAAATCCCTGCGTGCTGGGGGAGATCCACTTTGGTCATCCATGGGCAAGCTGCTGATGAGACAGACACGAGAGCAGCAGTTGGGGCTGCAGGACGAGCTCAGAATCACCACCTGGGGGTGCCAGCCCAGCAGCTTCCAACGACATAAAAGCTTTCTGGGAGCAGCTCCAGAGATTACGCTGGGAACCAGTCCAGGCAAGTAGAGAGAATATCCTGTGCTGCCCTGACGGTGAAGGATTCCTCGTGTGTCCTTTCATCTGGATGCCGGTTTTCGGCGTGTGGTAGCAGGTTTCACTGCCTCGCGTCCCACTGGCTTACGTAGCAGCTTGAGAGGAGGGTTTGGAAGGTACCTTTGGCAACCAAAGGAAAATACTGGCTCTCAGGAGGCGCAGAGTGAAGGGCGGGTCCCACCACTCACCTGCCTAAGCCAGAGCTGTCTCTCTCTTAAGCAGGTTGCTGTCACTAAGCCTCTCCTACACCAGCCTCTCTATTCACATGGATATGCTGCTGTGTTGTTGCTCAGGGATTACCTTTGATTATTATCCCTCCTGCTGTAGAACTTTGCCAAAAAATAAAAGGTCCATACAGCTGGGACAGGGTCCCATTTCCACTGTCCCTTCCACCCCCTAGTTCCACCTCCTAAAAAGCCCTTGAGGTTGTGGGGGACAAATTCTGATGGCAGTTGCAGTGAGAGATGGGTCGATGTTCGGTTACCTTCACAGCACTGGAACTGCTTGCCCGCCCAGAGCAGGTCATTACCGCACAGCTCCAGTCCATAGTAAGTTTTGCCACATGCATTTGGATATTTTCCCTTAGCCCCGTGTCCCTGGCATCCCCATCCTTCACTTCCTCCTCTGCCTTGCAGACGTGGGAGCAGACGTGTCACGGGCTCAGCTCTGCTCACTTTGAGGAAGATGCTTCGTGCTCACGTGGATGTTCTGCGCTGGCCTCTGGGCTCACTACGATGCTTAAGATTTTACAGGCTTAAAAGTAGCAGGGAGCTGGTCAGGAAAGCCTTTTAAAAACAAAACAAAAATCCCAACATTCCTACAATACTTGATGACAAAATGTTCTTGTTGCAGAGTTAATTTTTTTGTTGTTAACTTTGGAATTTTCGTGAGGGCTTTTTTAATTTATTTTTTTTTTTACTTTGCATTTTACCAGCTTGTCAGTAGCAGCTCTCTGGGAACTGTTTTTCACGCTGTAACATGGTGGCAGCGCACTGTCTGCAACAGCACTATTGAAATAGTGTGAAAAAAAAGCAAAGCATGACCAAAACTAACAATTCTGAAGCTCACATTCCTAAAAAAATCCTGCTGTGGGAGGTGGGCTGTAACCGGGGCGCTACTGGAGAGTTGTAAAGCAAAATACACACTGAAATTTCCTTTGAAATGGAAATTTGGAGCCTGTGCCAGCTCTGCTGCGGGCTCTGGCTCTCGGTGCGAGCGTTACACAAGCCAGACCTTGGGAAGCTGAGAGTCTCGTTCGGATGGTCAGTTTGCGTCACGATGGAGCTGCTCTCCAGGGCCGAGGGAGGAGGAACAGGCGGCTAACCCGCTGAAATGATGGCACGGGCACGTGGTGGTGTGCAGGGTGCTGCTGTGGGGGCTGTGCCAGCCTGGGGGATGTCTGGGAAGACCAAGAATAAAATCTTCTAGCAGATTTTGACTGGGGGGGTGGGGAGGGAAGGGTTTTGTTACATTTACAGAAACTAGACCCTGTGTCTCTTCTGTATTTCGTTAATCCGTCAAGAGGGCACAGGCTTAAAAACACCTTTAACTTAAAATAAGCATTGGCAGCAGTGTTAGAGCGAGAAAGGAGAGAGTGCTGCAGAAAGGCAAGCCCCAGCGTGACAGCCCTCTTGAACTGCCGAGTGTTTGTTTGTTCTGTTGGGTTTTTTTCCTGTAAATGTGCTTTTTAGTGCATGCTTTTCTAGGAGAGCCTACAAGAGCCAACAGCGATGGGATCTCCTGTGATCCCTATCTTCAGGATACAAACATGTCTTGAGCATGTGTGGTCTTTATCTCCATCCCTGAGGGAGGAGGCTGGTGAGTCCCCTGTGTCCCCGCTGCCCTCCCCGTCCTTCCTGGGGGCTGACAGAAGGGTTTAGTGCTGCACAGCTGGCTTTGAAACCTGCTGAAAGACTCGGCCGCCGATGATCACGTTTCGTCAGTGCAGGCTCTCACCAGTCAGGCGAGGTCAGGGCTGTAGCACACTTGATTCCTGCCCTGGGCTTTGCAATTCACCGCATTCCTGGAGCGAGTGTGAGTACCATAAATTCAGCATCCTTCTGCAGACGGCTTCCTCCCCTCCCGCCTGCCCCGGGACTCTCCACCTGGATCCAGTGCTCCGTGGGATGCTGGCAGCGTCACAGCGAGCAGATTTACAGGTCCTCACCGAAGGGTTTCAGCCAGGTCGCACTTGTTTGGAGACTTTCCATCCAAGTGGTTCCAGCAGGAGGAGTGGGTTTGTTCTC